TTTTCTCTCTGTTTTGATGTTCAATTGATCTGAAGAAATCACAATGACTCGAACATAAGCCACTTATTTGTTTGTGAGTTGATTCATCCATAGCTAAGCCAATCTCGATTCACAAAAATTAATGAGCACTCATCATTGTTTCGTATCATTCGCTGGAAGAAAAACTGCCCAAGCGGATGTATTTAGGGTTTGTTTTAGTACAATCGTGATCTGGTTTAGGAATAAGAATCTGGTGATCATGGATTTTTGATAATCTGTGATTCGAACATTTTTTACAGGTTTTAAGTGATCCACAAAAACGGGCAGTTTACGATCAGTATGGTGAAGAAGGCCTTAAAGGCCAAGTGCCGCCCCCTGATGCCGGTGGGCCCGGTGGTGCAACATTCTTCCAAACAAGTGATGGGCCGAATGTATTCAGATTCAACCCTCGAAATGCAAACGACATTTTTGCCGAGTTCTTTGGCTTTTCGAGCCCGTTTGGAGGGATGGGCAGTGGTGGTGGAATGAGGGGAGGTTCGAGGTTTTCTGGTGGATCAATGTTCGGTGGTGATGACATATTTAGCTCTTTTGGAGAGACGAGGACTATGAGCCCGGGTCCTAGAAAGGCTCCACCAATCGAGCAGAAGTTGCCTTGCAGCTTGGAGGAGCTGTACAAGGGAGCTACAAAGAGGATGAAAATTTCGAGAGAGATATATGATGCTAGTGGGTATGTTAAGTTCTCTTGCTATGTTTAGTCACTGGATATATCATGTTTTTGTCACTATTTTGATCGGTTTATTGAATGCGACTAGTTTTTTGGTTACAAAGAGGAAGAAAATGACTAGAGAGATGTCTGATGCCAGTGGGTATGTGTTTTACTATATTCCCTGTTACATTTGCTAGTTAATTTTTCCAGTTCCATTTATAGTTTGCTTCCTAACATCTTTTGACTGAATTGAATATAGCTTGTTCATTTGTCTCAAGCAAGTAACATTTTTTCTGGTTTGTTAGTCTTTTCTGCAATTTATAAACTAGAGATTTCATTGAGCGATGAATGTATTTTTTTTTTTGGATGCGAGGGGTATGTTCAAAGTTTTAGCTCAGTGACTTGAAATGGCTAATCAATCGCATTTACTGTTTAGTGATAATTTCTCTCAACAACGATTGATTATTTTCCTCTGTGCAGGAAGACCTTACCAGTTCAAGAAATCCTAACCATCGACATAAAACCCGGCTGGAAAAAGGGGACGAAAATCACATTCCCCGAGAAAGGAAACGAGCAGCCGAACATAATCCCATCCGACTTAGTGTTCATTATCGACGAGAAGCCACACAGTGTGTTCACGAGGGACGGAAATGACCTTGTCGTTACACAGAAAATATCACTTGCCGAGGCTCTAACGGGCTACATTGTCCACCTCAAGACCCTCGATGATAGAAACTTGACCATACCTATAAACACTGTGATTAATCCAAACTATGAAGAGATTGTGCGTGGAGAAGGTATGCCTATTCCTAAAGAACCCACTAAAAGGGGTAACTTGAGGATCAAGTTTAATATTAAGTTTCCGACTAGGCTTACGGCCGAACAGAAGTCTGGGATTAAAAAGTTGCTTTCTCCATGAGTTTGAGAAAATTATTTCTGTAGTTTGTTGGATAGCTGGTTTGTTGGTTTCTATTTTGTTGTGTTGGTTTTCTGGTTTGATCATGGACCTTGAATTGTTTGTAGCTATATAGTTATAGAAAATAAAGATGGAGTTGGATTTCAGAGTTGCTTGTAATCAGAAAGCACAATGGACATTGTATATCTTAAGATTTTGGAGCCTCTATATCATTACACATCCTATATTTTAGGTCATGATCTTTCTTTACCCTTCCAATAATAATAGTGGAAAACTATAACAATTGTCAATTTGATAGTGACACGGTAATGTATATTTAGTTTTATCTTTGATTATTTCATTTTTTCGTAGTAGTGGCATAAGTACCCTTTTTTTAAGCAATTGTTGAAATTAATAATAACTTTGTAAAGCAAGAAAAAATATCTATATGCAGCCAAATGATATCAGCATTTTTGTCAAAACTCAGTTGCAGACTAAATGAGCGACAATCATCTCACATTCCTGAAATACAACCCAAAACAACATGCAGCTCTTCTGTTCCATAACTTTACATCAGCCACAATTTCAAAGGCTAC